AATAACCATAGGAAATCAAGGGTAAATCATGCTTGACCTACCTTATTGCCTTCAATGATGGAACGATAGATCTGTGGATGAGGGGAGAGTAGGGGATGCTGTCTACTTTGACTTTAGTAAGGCTTTTCACACGATGTACCAAAGCATCCTTGTATTAAAGATGGGACCTGCAGTCTAGATGGGTGGACTAGAAGACTGGTGGAAACTGGCTGGATTGTTGGGCTTAAAGGGCAGTGGTTAGTGGTTTGTGCTCTATCTGGGAGCCAGTTACAAGTGGAGTTTCTCAGGGCTCTGTCGTGGGACCTCTCCTGATTAGTATTTTCATCAATGACGTGGACCAAACTTGGGGCAACAGGCTATATGCTTAAGGGCATGGCTGTAATACAGAGGGACCTGGACAGGTTGGGGCTGAGAAGAACCTCGTGGAATTCAACAAGGACAAATGCAAAGTCTTGCACCCAGGCTGGACTTACCTGGGATGGACTAACCCCTTGCACAGGTAAAGGCTGAGGACTGACTGGTTGGAGAGCAGCTCTGCTGAAAAGGCCCTCCTGGGAGGGCAGTAGGCTAAACACTAGGCAGCAGCGTGCCCTCACAGTGAAGAAGGCCAATAGCATCCTGGGCTGTATAAACAGGAGCAGAGCCAATAGATGAAGGGGAAGTGCTTATTCCCCTCATCATTCATAGTTCATGAGACAACATCTAGAACGGTGTCCAGTTTTGGGCCCCCCAGTACAAGAAAGACGTTGATCAGCAGGAGCAAGCTCAGCAGAGGGCCACCAAGATGGCCAGTGGCCTTGAGCACTTGCCACGTGAGGTGAAACAGAGGGTATGGGGCTTGTTCAGCCTGAGGAAGAGAAGTCCAAGTGGGAACCTAATAGCAGCCCCCTAATGTCTACAAGGAGGTTGTCAAGAAGATGGAGACTCGGTCTTTACAGCACTGCATGGCGGGAGAATGAGAGAAAACAGACAAAAATTGAAACAAGAGCTTCCTACTGGATATAAGGAAAAGCTTCCCACTATGAGATAATTAAGCTGAAACAGCTTTCCCAGAGCATCTGCGCAGTTTCCATCCTGGGACATTTTCAAGACCTGAATGGACAAAGCCCTGAGCAGCTTGGGTTGACTTCAGTGTTGACCCTACTTTGTGCAGGGCCTGGGCTAGAAACCTCCTGAGGCCCCTTCCCTCCTGATTCTGTGATTTTATCCATGTTGCTTCTGCTCAGGGAGCAGAACAGCTTTACCAGTTCGCAGGGTTTTTTTTTTTTTCCCCCACTGCATTGCTCATTGTACGTACTTTCTCTTTTGGGTGAGCCACGTAACAGATGGGAACCTCAAAGCTGCTCTTCAAACTAATAATTAACACTTTGAACTTCTACAGCATTTTCCTGTGCTTCAGGT